AATGTGCACTGCAAATTCTGGAATTTTTCCAGGCTGCCACGGTTTTCCATCACTCCTGCAATCAGAGCTTTACTTATAAAATTGTGACAATAATTGAAATTATTTGTTTGCTATTAAAATTGAATAATCATGTTTAGTGAAAAAGAACTAAATACCCTATTTTTATAGCCATTTTAGTAATTTATTCACTTTTCATACCGCTTGAAGGAATGAGACTGAAGCCGGTCTTCTTTTTCACTCACACAATAAGACTTCTGTCACACCCTACACAGTTTTCGGCCATCATTATGGTATACGTATCAAGTGTAGTAAGTAACGTTTACAATGGTTAACAATACTTTTGCGATTCATTTTTATATTATAGATTACTATTTTATTCATAATAATAAAATTATTCATTTTAAGTGTATTTGGCACAATTAGTTCAGTAAATTAAATTTTTCATACTGACACACTTATAATAAGTAAGTTACTCTTTGTCTACACTAAAATTTATCTAGAAACTAGAAATAATTTATATGGCAAAACAACGTTTGCCCGGTTAACTAGTATATATATAACATATGGTACTCAAGGTTTCAGATCTCACTATTTAAGAAATAAGCCACGAGGCGGCGCTAAGGTAGATACCTACTTTACTAGCGTATACAAGAGTCGGAAGAAACATATAGAACGTATTCCATAAAGGCAGGTATGTAGCGTTAGCACGCGTCAGTCGATCAAAAAAAGTTGTTTATACACAAACATACTGATAAACACGTAGTTGAGAAGACAAAACTAAAATTTCACCATTTTTGAAATAACCAATATGCACGAAATCTACTTTTACTTTTAATATTTCTGGGCATAAGAAAAGAATTTATTGGCTTTGCGATGTAATAAGATGCTGTGTCATGTTGTTTTAAGTATTTTTGGTAACGACTATCTTTTAAATTAATAGCGCTAGCTACAAACGGATTGAAGATTATGAAAATTTGGAAAATTCTCTATCAGGTAAAAATATATAATAATAAAATTTCGTGGGCTAAAAGGACCTGAAACCAATTATATTTTATGAATACGACTCTCTTCTACCGCTACCCTTGTACGGTGCCCTGAATCGAGTCACTTCTACCGCTACCTTCGTACGGTGCCCTGAATGGGAATTACTTCTACCCCTAGCTTCATACGGTGCCCTGTATTGGAGTCACTTCTACCGCTAGATACGGTGCCCTGAACCAAGTCACTTTTACCGCTACCCTTGTACGGTGCCCTAAATCGAGTCACTTCTACCGCTAGCCTCATACGGTGGTCTGTACCAAGTCACTTCTACCGTTACGCTTGTACGGTGCCCGGAATCGAGTCACTTCTACCAATAGCCTCATACGGTGCCCTGAATCGAGTAACTTCTACCCTAGCCTCATACGGTGCCCTGAATCGAGTCACTTATTTTGTCTAAAAATATCAATTTTTACTGTGAGTGTGAAAACAGTTAATGCTTGATAATTTTTCTCAATGATTTTTGATAGTAAATATCTTTCAGTACCAGATGAGATAGTAAGGTAATAAGAATTGAAACTGCAGAATATAGAAGTAATATTGAAGGGAGAAAATAATAATATATATTATTTGTACAATGAATTTGGTTGATGAAATCCCACACAATGAAAATACTCGAAATTTACACTTGAAGTAAACGCTTTACATTATATACTAGAAGTTCCATAATAAATAAAAACGCACTAAAAAATGCACCATAAATAAGTAATGAGAACGCTCCTTTAACATGGCGCAAAGTAAGAACAATATTGTGTTGGGGGTGGTTGTTTGAAACTTCCTCGGGTACTTGTTGATTTCCATGTCGATATTGATTGATATAATAATCTGTCCATTTCTGTATCAATCCAGCAGAATTTAAATTTTGGAAAATAAAATCAAATTGTTTATGAAGCACAAAATTTTTTGAAAAAAAAATTCTGTATGTGTCTGTGAAAACAGCATTATCTTTTATTAAGTATATCTTCGAAGAACCGTCTTGATTTGTTAAATCAGAAGTTCCCATGTAGTATTTAATGTAATACTCTCCTACTATTAAAATTGCCTCTCCTTTTGCAACACGTTTCCACCAATCTTTTATTCCAACAGTTGCGGATATATTATGATATTTTTTTAAAAATTCCTCTGCATTCTCGCTGCTTTTAAAAAGTTCCTTATAAACTGATCTTCCTGCAATAGGCAAAGGGCTTTTCACGATATCCTTAAAAGTAGAAATCTGATGGTTGTATGGTGGTTTACTCATAACTTTAAACAAAGTACTCTGATATAAAGATCCGACAATGATAATAAATAAAGCATAGGAGATAAAAAGAATGCGATTAGCAACTTGACGTGGCTGCTTCCAAACCGCAATAGACAGAGTTATTTGAACCGGTACCAGAATGGCGGCTCCTATTGTTTTTAAACTTCTATCTGCCAGTGGATTTCCAGTTTTTAAATTACTCACTAACCATAAGCAAATACCTATCATCAGTAAAACGACCAGTAATCCAATCCAAGTAGTCCAAGTAAATATAATTAATAGAAGTCGCGTCTCGTCAATACGCTGGGAAGTCGGGACTGCCCAATACATATTTTCCGTTACACAATTTATGGTGCATCGGAAATCTTGCAAACGATCTAATCTCGTAGATATAGCACCTACTCCAATCATAAAACGATCTGTGGATAACATACCTAGTGGACCTGACCATGTACCATTCTTTTGTTTGGCGCCCCAAAAAGTTTCTTGTGTATATATTTTTTCAAATGTTATGTTGAGACGATGTTCTAATTCTTGAAGAATTCGTACCTCTATTCCGTCATTTGGTGAGATTACATACGGTGGGTATTGTAACAAAACCGCGCGAATTCTGCAGTTCAATCCAAAATATCTTAATTGATATGGAGACACTTTTCGATCAAAAATTCCACTATTGCAGGAACTCAGAAGAGTTAGCACAGGCTGTTTAGCACAATACACTGCATCTTCCGGGTACAAATTTAAGATATACAGTTCAAAAACATTTCTACTAGCGGGAATTAATAACGATGTTGCGTATTTTGATCGAACATATGCCAATTGAAGAATCTTCTGCGCTACGTGCTTGGTATCATTCGGTATATTTGTGTAAAAGAAAAGAAACTCAGCAGAAATATTGTGCCTTGGCATAGATTGGATCATTTTAAATGCATCACTGTAATCTTGCAGATTGTCAATAAACACAATATATATTTTTGCTTTTCCTAGTGCATTAAACCATCTTTTATAAATACGTTTTGAAGAGTTATCATTGCAGTGTTTAATGCATATTTCATAGTCAGCAACAAGACTTTGTGCACTGTTGATAAATTCGTAGTTAAAAGATGAGTTTTGCTTGTAGTTATGAAGCATCTTTATTACTTTAGACATTATGGAATAACCTGGGTCTTCAGTGATGTTAGAGTTTAAAAGAGAAATTAATATATTTTCCGCAAAAATCTCGTGAGTCAGATTCCACAAACATTTGCTAGCCATTTGGATGTCAATTGGGCTGGCAGCGGTGAAACTGTTTTGGTAGTTATTATTTTGTGCATCTATTGCACATACAATACTCAAAAATAACAGGTATCTTATAATATCTACTTTCATATTCAAAGAAGAGCACATTTTTACTCTATAGAATAACTATAAAGAAATTTTCAACACGCTTTAAAGTTATAAATGCACTGTTTTCGGTTTGTTCACACAGTTATTAAGTTTGGTTGACAAGTTAATGCTTCTATTACCATAATTTTATTATAAAAACAAAATATAACAAGATAATGTCAATCAAAACTCTCTGAAATTTAGAATATGGATAGAACACGGAAATATAACAAATCCCCCAGCAATAAAATTGTAATGTTTGCGCCCTCATGAGGGGAGAAGAAGTGAAAAGAAAAGAAGTCCCATCTATATCAAACTGAACTTCAATAACCCACGCCCCTACACACGGCACAAATTGCAATTCACTAACATTCCACGAACTCCAACAAACATGCGGTCTGAAATACTCACGCGTATTAGCATGCGGCTAGTAATCCGCCAAGCAAATCGAGATCGCGACGACAACAACCGCTTATCTCTGCTATCCGTATCCTGTAGCGATAAATGAGCAGTTTGGATTTTACATTTGCCCAGTTACAATTTCAAAAAATGCATACTTTTTATTTCTTGTGAAAATATATCCCGCGCTAAAGATATTTCACATAGAAACACACCAGTAGCAATTAACATTCCACATACCCACACTAAAAAAATGCTCAAAAGGTGTTCAACAGTTAATGTGGACGGATGCTTTTCATAGCGTATGCGACTGTTTAAATATCTCTGTAAAGGTGTGCCTATCTCAGAATAAACTGCTTGCCTGTCCCAAATGTCAATTAATCCACAGTCAAACGCACGCATTATAAATTTCGAGAGAACTTCAGTCAAAACAGAACTACGTCGTAAGTAAGCGGTATTGTAGGAATAAACTAAATCATCCTTGATACTTTTGTATCTCACAATGTTCTTCTTGTTAACGTAGTTCTCAACACCGAAAAAGTCATTGGTATATTGCACGACCAAAATAGCAAAATGGTTGCCATCTATACGCTCTTTCATATCTTCCGGTTGTAGATTTTTATATTTTTCATAGACTAACTGTGATACTCTCTGCCATTGAAGAAAACACAATATTAATTATATTTTGATTTAAAAATATAAACCTAAAATATTATTATTATTATTAGTACATACTTTAGGATCAGTTGCCAAAGTCATAGCAAAGTTATTGGATACGCTTCCCCATTCCAAATTACTCTTCGCAAAATCTTCTGCTGTGTTTATATCACCAATATAAGCTGGATCTGTGAAATTACCAGCGAGTTGTGAGGTATACATTGCAATAACAAGAAGAGCTTGCAAAAACAGCGCGAATGTATACAAACGCAGAGCAGTTGTCTGTGGTAACTTAGTCTGAGGAACGGATTGTTGGACGGCGATTGCGTAAACCAATCGCAAAGATACCAGAGATGCATTATTAATTTGCCCATGTACGAGTATATACTGATAACATCTAAAAAATTAACAAAAATGTGTGCTAAATGTTCCACTTATTTCTTCATATCAAAAGAATAACTTTTAATTACCTTTTGATAAATATCAAAGCAAGAGTATGAATTAATAAAGACACAATTAATAATACCCATGCACCTGTAGACAATTCTAATATGAAAACCGTCCAGACATCTATCGATCTGAAATCTAATGGTTAATATAAATAAACATTAACCAAATACAAACAAACATACGTTGCTTTTGGAACGAGGACAGTCACCTCATACTGATGGGATATTGCTGTAATGTCGAACATTTCAAATCTATCAAAAGTTAGGTAAAGTGGCCCTACAATTAAAAAAGTAGATCAACTAATGATATGCTTCAAAAAGTTCATTTTGTGAGTAATATACTTAATGCAATGTCAGCTTCATCATCGGATATCATTTTAAAAATCTCAGCAGGAGTTAAATCCGTTTCAAGTTTACTGGGGTCACTGTAATTGATCCCGTTAATTATAAATTCATTGTTATGAATCTTAGCAAATTCCAACCCAATCCATAAAAATGAACCGGATTTTTTACCTGCAAGTTATGATTTAGACATTTATTAAAATAAAATTTAAACGCAAATTACGAATATACCCCCGAGGTATTAAAAGATCAGATATAAGAATCCTCAGAGGTCTGCCATGTTGATTTGTTAACTTGTCAGGAAATAAAGATGCATTTCTTTCAAATATATTTGCACAACCATCAAATGTATCCAAGAGTAGAGGTAGATGACTGTCATTTTCAATTCCAACATATTTATGTGTATATAAATTTATTTTACTGCAAGTATCAGGATGAAGTAATTGACTATCTGTTGAATTTATTTCATTGTGGATTGTTTTGTTCCAAAAAAGTAACAAAAAATTTGTTACAAACTGTAAACTCCTAGTTGCAAATATTTTATTCATAGCGTCTCCGTTTCTATCTGTTACAACAATGATTCTTCGATTGTTATAACGAAATTGAAAATTTGTTTGGCGTAATTGATTGTCAATAGATTCAAGTACACACTCAGTAAAATTATTCGACATCTGGTCAAGATCCCAAATTATAAAACAATCGCAACGTTCAGGAACTTGACTAAAAAGCGATAATTTGCTAAAATGATAATTTGTTGTATTTTCAATTGAATTTATTAATTTTTCCTGCATTGGTGATGTAAAATGTAAAATGCAGTTTTTCCATGACGTATAAAAAATGTAGTTTTTAAGTATCACTTGCAGTAGAAGATGAATAGAGCCAGACATTTTTAAATCAATCAAAGCAAAAGCGCAGCCAGATTCAAACTGTATATAATCATACACTCAGCATATCATTCGTGTCCAGCTACATACAAAGTCACTTATCCTTATTGATTCCTAGTTTTTCTGGTACACATCACTATTATCCACATGACATTTCAACCATTTGCAACATAAACAAACATGTGTATTTGTTTAATTAATAACATTTATGTTTATTTATTTATTTATTTAGTGTTATTAGTTAGATAAAGTCTACACAATCAATACATTGTTGCTCGTGTTATAAAAACTTCATACAAATAAACTTCAAATGCGTAAATATGCATGTATGAGACTCTAAGTAATTAAGTATTATTTTTGGTTTTTATTAGGTTAATGTAATCACTGATATAGTTATTTATTAACATGTTGACATGACATGTTTCGCTTTACTAGCATTTTCAATTGTCTATTGGACTTAAGATTGAACCATTAGGCATTATTTGTTTTCGAGAGTACTTTTGAAATACATAGATAAAAGCAAAAGCAATTCCACGAACCCATCACCTAAGAGGCAAAAATTCCTGGAATTCAAATTTCAAATAAACAAAGAAATGTAATGCGTTGAAAGGATTTTTTCATTGCGCTGTGAAACACTCAACGATTAGTTCCACACATTTATTTTTCACTTCATACGAGAACAAAACTAGTGCAACACTATTTTGAGACATTGAGTTCATTCAGTTTCGTGATATGGGACTTAATAAAAATAATTTACGCTTAAAGCAAATGCTTAATATTTCGCATTAGAAGTTCCAAGATAAATATAGACGCACTGAAAAAGTTACCATAAATAAGTAGTAAGAATGCTCCTTTAACATGGCGCAAAGTGAGAACAATATTATATTGTTCCTGGTCATTTGCAACTTCTTGGTGTATTTGCTCATGTTCATGTCTATAGTATTTGATATAATAATCTGTCCATGCATATATCATACCATTAGAATGTAAGTTTCGGAAAATAATATCAAACTGTTTTCGTAACACAAAATTCTTTGAAAAGGTAATTCGGTAAGTGTCCGTAAAAAGAACGTCATCTTTTAGTAAGTAAATCTTCGAAGAACCGTCTTGATTGGTTAAATCTGGAGTTCCCATATAGAATTTAATGTAATACTCTCCGACTATTGAAATTGCATCCCCAGTTGCAACGCGTTTCCACCAATATATTATATCGTCATTGTCGGATATATTATAAAAGTTTTCTATAAGTGACTTTGAATTTGGTTCACTTATCTCAAAAAGTTTGCCAAAATCTGGAAGTCCTCCAATAGGCAAAGAACTTTCAAAAATTTCCTCATAAGTTGAAAGTTGATGGTTATATGGTGGTTTACTCATAACCTTAATCAAAGAACTCTGGTATAAAGATCCAACAATGATAATAAATAAAGCATAGGAGATAAAAAGCATGCGATTAGCTACTTGACGTGGCTGCTTCCAAACTGCAATTGAAACAGTTATTTGTACAGGTACCAGAATTGCGGACCCTATTGTTTTTAAACTTCTATCTGTCATTGGATTGCCGGTCTTCAGATTACTCACTAACCATAAGCAAACACCTATTATCAGTATTATAACCAGTAATCCAATCCAAGTAGTCCAAGTAAATATAATTAAAATTAGTCGTCCTTCATCAATGCGTTGAGCAGCTGGGACGGCCCAATACATATTTTCGGAGAGGGAATTGTACGTACAGTGAAAATCTTGCAAACGATCTATCCTTGTAGAAATAGCTCCAATTCCAATCATGAAACGATCTGCAAATAACATGCCTAGCAATCCTGACCAGGTACCATTTAGTTCTCTGTATCCCCAGGTTGCAGACTCATTTTGATAATTAATTTCGAATGTTATGTTGAGACGATGTTGTAATTCTTTAAGGATTTTTACTTCTATGCCTTCATTGGGTGATATTATATACGGTGGGTATTCTAACAGCATCGCACGAACTGTGCAGTTGAATCCAGAAAATTTTAATCGATATGGAGGTACCTTCCGATTGAAGATACCTCTACGACATGTACTTAGAAGAGTTGATATGGGTTCAGTTGCACAATATTGTACATTCTTCGAGTACAAATTCAACGAGTACAGCTCGAAAACATTTCTTTCAGTTGGAATCAATAATTTTGATGAGTATTTTGAATGATTATAAGCTGTTAGAAGTATCTTTTGGGCAATTTGCTTAGTATCATTCGATAAATTTGTGTAAAAGAAAAGAAACTCTGCAGAAACATTGTACCTTGGCATGGATTCAACCTTTTTAAATGCATCACTGTAATCCTGAAGACTGTCAATAAATACAATGTAAACTTATGTTTTTGTAGGCGCGCTTTCATGGACAGTAACAATTTTTTGTGTAGTCTGAATGCTTTCGTAGCTAAACGACGAGGTCGCTTTGTAATTGTGATGCATCATTATTGCTTTCGACATTACGGAGTATCCTGGCTCTTTAGTAATGTTGCAATTTAAAAACGAAATAAATTTCTTTCTTCCAAAAATCTCTTCAGTAAGATTCCATAAGCAACTGCTAGCAAATTCGACGTCTATAAGGCTGACATCAGGGAAAGCGTTTTGGTAACTGGTATTTTGTGCTTTTATTGCATTAAAAATGTTCAAAAGACAAAGATGTTTTATAATATATTTTGCAATTTTTAAAGAAGGACCCATTTTAACTCTAAAGAATATCTCTAAATAAGTTGCGTGAAGGTTTAAAAGTTGTAAATTCTTTATAGTACGTTTGTGCAAACAATTATTAAGTTACTTGACAGGTTAATGGTTAATTTAACATAATTTGTGATGAAAATAAAATATTTCAAGATAACGTCCTTCAAAATTATCAAAAAATATTATTACTTTGTAAGTTTTCTTAAACCTTGGCAACTATTAGTAATAATGGCATATTATTACGAATTATCATTTTTATTGTACACCGGTTGAGAATTGGCGGTTATATCGACTAAACCAAAGCACAACGGGAAAATGAAACAAAGAAAAATAAAGATACAATCGTATGACACAAACCAAACTAGATGTTTAAATTTCCAGAAACGCACGCTATCATTTAAAACACACACCTGTCCAAAAATAATATCACGTTACTTGATAACACTTTAAAAAATAAATGACTACCTTTGACCAACCAAAGCAATTATTTCACATTGTGGTCGTTCAACATTTCTATTAAACATATTTTATGCCTGAATAAAACGTTTGATCTTCCATATAAGAAATTCCAGAATAAAAGTAAACGTACTGAGTACTTTACCAAAAATTAGTAAGAAAAATGCTCCTTTAAAGTGGTCCATGGTGAGAACAATAGTATCATGTTGGTGATCGCTGGGAACTTCTTGGTCTACTTGTTTATTTCCATGTTGATATTGATTGATATAATAATTTGTCCATGCTTGTGTGAAACCACCAGCGTTTAGTTTTTCGTAAATGCGATTAATAGGCTTTCTAAGTATAAAATTTTTGGAGAAGGTAATTCGGTAAGTGTCCATATACAGGATGTCATTTCTTAATAAATAGACCTTTGATGAACCGTCTTGGTAGGTTAACTCCGGAGTTCCCATGTAGTACATAATGTAGTACTCACCGACAATCGTAGCTGAATCGCCACTTGCTACGCGTTTTCGCCAACACGCAATTTCGTCATTTTCCGATATGTTAATGTATTTATTAAGAAACATTTGTGACTTTTGAAAATTTCCAAACGGTTCGGTGTAAACTGGGAGCCCTCCTATAGATAAAGGGCTTTCCCAAATTTCATCAAAGGTTGAAATCTGATGTTTGAATGGTGGTTTGCTCATAATTTTAATCAAAGCACTTTGGTATAAAGATCCAATGATAATAATAAATAAAGCGTAAGAGATAAAAATTATGCGATTAGTAAGGGCACGAGGCTGCTTCCAAACAGCAATAGATACAGTTATTTGCACCGGTACCAGAATTGCGGCTCCTATTGTTTTTAACCTTTTGTCTACCATTGGACTGTCAGTTTTTAGATTACTAACAAGCCACAAACCAATACCAATCACCAGAAAAGGGATCAACAGGGCAACCCAAGTAGTCCAAGTAAATACAATGAAAATAAGTTTTTCGTTATCAATGCGCTTGGAACTTGGAACTAACCACCGTATGTTTTCAGAGAGACAACTATAAGTAGCGTCAAAATCTTGTAAACGATCTATGCTAGTAGATATAGCACCAATTCCAATAATAAAACGTTCTTTATATAACAAATTTAGAGGGCCTGACCAGTTACCGTCCTCTTGTTTGTACCCCCAAGCAGCAGGCCCATTTAGAAATTTCTTTTCAAACGTTACGTTGAGACGATGTTCCAATTCTTGCAGAATTCGTACTTCTATGCCTTCATTTGTTGAGATCACATAAGGCGGGTTTTCCACTAGTACCGCACGAAAGGTACAATTAAATCCAGAATTTTTATTTCCAAATGAAGGTACTATCGGATTGTAGACACCCTTTTTACACGTGCTCAGTAGAGTTGATATGGGTTGAGTACCACAATAGATTGCCTCTTTCGGGTACAAATTTAATAAATATAGAAGAAAAACATCAATTTCTGAAGGAATTAACAACATACTTGAATATTTTGACCGAGCATAAGCTAATTTTAGAATTTCCTGGGCAATTTGCTTTGTTTCATTTGATAAATTTGTATAAAAGAAAAGAAACTCGGCATAAATGTTATATCTTGGCAGGGCTTCAATTTTATCCAACGCATCATTGTAATCCTGAAGACTATCAATAAACACTATGTAAATTTTTGTTTTTCTCGATGATTTATACACCATTTCATTAATTCGCTTAGAGTTTTCATTTCTGCAATTTTGATTGTCGGAAACATTGTTTTGTGAATTGCTGATGACTTCATAGCTAAATGATGAGTTCTCGTTGTAGTTGTGAAGCATCATTATTACTTTAGACATTATGGAATACCCTGGTTCTTCAGAGACGTTACAATTTAGTAGTGAAATAAATCGCTTACTTCCATAAATTTCTTTAGTAAGATTCCATAAGCATTTGCTGGCAAATTGGGCGTTAATAGTGCTTTTCTCCATAAATGTGTTTTGGTAGTTAATATTTTGCGCATTTATTGCAATAAAAATACTTAAAAAACATAGATATTTTATAATATCTAATGTGGTTTTTAAAGAAGTACACATCTTAACTCTAAAGAAATAACAAGGAAGATATTTTGAATATGTTATAAAAGTTATAAAAAAATTATGTGAGCATTATTCAAACAATTATTAAGTTCCTTGACAAGTTAATGCTCCTATTACCATAATTTATTACAAAAACAAAAAAAATTCAAGATAATGTCTATCAAAACTCTTGGAAAATTAATATTCCCATCTAATTTAGATACTACATCGGTATTAGCTTTTGTTTTGAAGTGATAATAGCATATTATTATGAAGTGTGAACGCTCAAACTGAATAAAACGCAAACAAGAAATTGTGTATTTGGAGCTGTGGGCGCTCTCTGTTGGTAGACCAACGAACGTCTTAGTTACAAGGCCAACTGTTCCCACTGTTCTACCACTAGTCGGATGAAAACACAATTTCGAAACATCCACAACAAAGCACAAATGCATCTAACCAAAAATACGCTTATTCTATTTAAACAAGTACTCAGATCAAAACTTAAAGACACAGTAACACCGGCTTTTTCACGAACAAGAATTACGGTAAGACCAACAACACGGAATATTCAAACAATTTTAATAAATAATCATCACACGATTTCAGATGGGTCGCAAGTTAGCTGCTTTTGATTTTGATCACACCATTGTGGATGACAACAGTGATATTGTAGTAAGAAATCTAATCTCAAAGGAATTAATACCCGAATCAGTGAAGAAATTGTACAAAAGCGATGGTTGGACAGCCTACATGCAGGGTGTATTTGAAACATTGCATGTAAATGGAATCACAGAAAACAACATAATTTCTGCAATGAATAAAGTGCCATCAACACCAGGAATGGAGGAGTTAATTAGAACCATGACTGAAGAATTAAACTATGATGTGATCATTATTAGTGACTCAAATACTTATTTAATAAACTCTTGGTTGGACAGTCATCATTTAAAAGATAAAGTTATGAAAGTATTTACAAATCCAGCCAATTTCTCAAAAGGAGTGCTCAGGATCTCAATGTATCATCTACAAACTGAATGTAAATTAAGCACAAAGAATCTATGCAAAGGGAAAATTTTGGATGAATTTATAGCTGCTCGTGCCCAAGCAGGTGTGGTGTATGACAGAATAGTTTATGCTGGCGATGGAAATAATGATTTCTGTCCAATTCTAAGATTGTCCGAACATGATTTGGCATGTGTCAGAGATAAATATGCTTGTTTGCAACTGGTGCAGACTGTTCAAGCTGGTAAACCTATACCTGTTACTGGGCAAATCTACAATATTAAAGCTAAGATTGTTGTTTGGAACAGTGGCACAGATATTTTGAATGCCATCAAAAACTTAGATTAGAACTCTTTGTATACACATTGTGAAACAAGTGAGTTTTGGGAAGAGAGATATTTATAGTGCCATTGTAATGTGATTATAATTGGATATAAAATGGTGCCAGATTGCTCAAATGTTTAGTACTAATTTTAGTTATGCACCAAATGTCACCTGTGTTATTCAATCCAACTATTTTTGTCAAGACAAGACAAGACAAATGGACATTCAAGTCAATTGTGGATCCAAATAAAGTACAATGTGTTGATGTACTTCGTATATTTCTAGAAATTGTGTATAAAATAGTATTTATAGAGTTAAACTCTATGTGAATATGCTTTCTTTGCCAATGTGATACAAAAAAACATTCCAAGTAGTACATTACTTCAGTCCTAATTAGATTTTATTTGTACTAAAGTTATATATCGTAATTTCATTATATTTTTCACGTCAATTGTATTAAAAAAGATTAAATTTAATAAACAATCAAATATTCCAGATAAATGCGTTTTGTGTTACGCCTTAACCCAGTAAAAGATTATAAGAAATTTATGTAATGGGTCTTAAAGATGATGATTGAATTACTCAACCATTTTTAACCCTAAGGTTACATGTATATTCAAATCCTATTACAATTCCTCAAAATATGAACAAGCAGTGAGATGAACTATTTTGTGTCAACAACTCTCCCTCACTTGCACTTTCTCTCTCTTTCCATCTACCACGCCTGTTCACTTGTTGCTTGCTGATATCGCGCGCGCGGTCTTATCTTATTCTAACCGGTCTCACCTACTGGCCACCTTGAGTACAACTTGAATATTGACAATATTGTTAACGTGGTCTTCAATAACACTAAATATGAATTTGTTTGTATACAGATCACAAATATACACTACATAATATTTATTCATATTTTATATGCTCACTTACCTTATGAATCACGCCTGTAGATTAAAAGAAGCACCATAAAAACGTGGGACGACCATATATCACCCAAACCACCAAATCCACTAATCCTTTAATCCTCACTATAAATTAAAATACACATGTTAATTCTTGTCCCAAAACACATTAAACGACAGTTTGAACAAACTTACCTGCGACACTTCGGCACGACGCAACAGGTCCCCGAAGAACAACACAAAAATGTCCGTTAAAATGGCACGCGGTACGCACTCACACTCAACCGATAACAAACTGAGGCTCATTCTGCATGCCTGCAACAGAATGGTACTCTGATCGGCCTCTATCGGACGTCAAAATAACCAACATAGCAAACAATATGTGAATACAAATAACACAATCACAAATAAATTTATAAAAGTCGAGAAATTTCTTTCTCCAGTGGAGGGAGGATTAGTCTTTGATATTTTTTATCATAATAAGCAACATAAACAACATATTCATATGGTTTAAACATTATATTTGTAATAAATTTGAAAATTACATAATATAAATTGTAAACTATAGGTATAAAAATATTTTGTTGTCATTTGCATCAACTAGTTGTTCGACAAACGGCTGCTCCCGATAAATTTCTGTCACATTCAACTACACGCATCTCCTTCGCATGCGACAAACAACACGATGTAATAACAATCATTAAACTTCTCTGACAAATATAATATGAATCTCTTGGTGACTAAACGCTATACAAATAAAAAACGTGAAACATTGTAAATATACCTATGGCTTTCTCGTTGCATGCTCGCATTACATAATAATAACAAAAAATAATTTACACAATAATTAGTGGAGTCGGAGAGGACGTAACACGAAATATAATAATATAAAACAAAACGCGTATATAAATAGTTTGCGGTTTACATATTTGCCGTTTAACTTCGATAAGATTCTTACAAATTGACGTGGAGAGAAAAACAGAGAGACAGACAGAGAGCAATCATAATAATTGTAGCTTCATAATGTACATCCGTGCGATTATTTGTCATCCAGAAAAAACGAACACGTAAAGGTTGGCAGTTTACGTATATATTGTATACATTTAGTTACGTTTTCTATTTAATAGCATGAATGGAATTCGTGTTCTTGCTCTGAATAACGCATATAGAATGAGATCCAATATATTACATACATGGACAAATGGTTAATAAAAACCCTCTACCAAAATGGCAAGTAACATAGCTGGGGGGGTGGCTGGGTTGTTTCACAAACAAGAGTACAACGCACAACGCAGCCATACCATTAATATCCTTCAACATTAAATAAACATTTAAAATAACATTCAACAACACATCCGTCCCCATCCGGCGCTTCTATATTACACACGTCATGTCCATTTCGCATCGTTTCGGTTTCTGTTCGGTTAATTCGATGGTAATTACTGCTTCGTTGTTTTGTTTCTTAGTTTGTACTCGTTTCGAAAACAATCAAGAGAGCTCATCGATGAAGCTAGCACAAAAATCAATACAATACAATAAATTAAACTAGGCGGTGTAATTAATTCGCTACGTACGACTAATGAGAGAATTATGACAATAGGTTTCGAATTGGCTTCGAGTTACGAGAATTTGTCGGTGAGTATTCGATAGGTAAACAAAAAATACAAATAAAAACAAATAAAGGTCACGTTAATGCCTTACGTTATGGTAAACTGTAGTTGCTTCCCCCACACTACGAACAAAACACAACTGACAACTAAAAGCGATCTAGTTAAATTAATTTAAACACAAAAATAAAAAGAAAATAAGCCGAGTATTTACCATGCTAGTGCTTACAATCGACCGATTACACAGACGACACATAAATAACAATAAATTCCATATAAATCTCTTAATTAACAAATAAAAAAAATTTAATAAATAAAACAAATATGCCTACGATGTGGAGCGTGTGCTACGCCATTGCGGAAACCACAAACGTACAAAATAATACAGAAATGGCAAGAATTATTTTGTAACTTTTGTTCAATTTGCTTAAACTTTAATTAACACATCCGCGATCCGCTTATTCTATTTCCTTCCTCCATCTTTTCATCAATAATCTCTAGCTTAAGTTACGTGTAAACTTTCGTTCAACCATTGTTGCATAGTTAAGTACAAATTTCTTTAAATTCTTTAAACAATTCTTATCTCATACGATTGATTTCATTTTCAAATTTGAATTTGTCACAATACGAATCACAGCACAATAATTACAAAAAATGTTACAAAACGTTTGCATTATCATTATTAAGTAAGTATAGGAACAAAATGATTATAAAAGTGATGTTGTTGGAATTAGTTTCTCTGTGTGTTTTGTGTGTTTTCAATGTTCACCAAAAACATTGTTAATGATGCCGATCACTGTTTTCCATTACACAATTGCATCGAATGTTTACGACCTCGACACACCCAACAAAAAATCATTTCTTGCTAATTTTTCAAAAATTAATTCACTCGCCTGCAGAATTAATACACGCTTGACTCCTGACAGAAATGACAGATTAATTATTGATTTTCGGCTTGGTTAATATTGTATCCCAAGGTATGCTTAGTGCGTGATTGATTAATACCAACTCACGAGCGGAAAGAATTAAAAAACTGAATAAATATAATTTAATTACGCGCGCTGCAGTCGAACCAGATTTGAAAAATTGCACAAAGAAGTTGATTATGTAAGTGGTCGCGATAAATAACCATAATAATAGTAATATCTGCAAGTGACCTTTCAAATAGGATATTAATAGATCCTAAACGATATTTGCTCGCAGGCTGCATGCACGTGCGCACATGATCGGCATCATTAAAATGGTGAACCTTTTTGATACATATATTAATAATTGCATATTGCATTGAACTTCAAAACGTGTTCATCTCTGGTCGTTGCACGATTATTGCATTTCATAGGTTTTTATATAGCTTTGTAGGTTTCTGTTAAGTTTTAGAGCTTGTAGATTTCTCTGCGTGTTTGTGTGCCTCAAGCTACCTCGTTTTGGTTTTGCTAGCGTTGACATTGCCGGCCGCCGCGGCGTTTTTCTGCGCGATATGCGTCTGATAGTGCTTGGCCAAGTGCGCCTTCTGCCGGAAACTCTTCCCGCACAGACTGCACGCAAACGGCTTCTCCCCGGTGTGCGTCCGAATGTGCACGTTCACCGAGTACTTGTCCTTGAAGCCTTTGGTGCAGATACTGCAGTAGTGCAGACTCCTCTCCTTGCGCACACCATTGGAAGTCGAGGTGGCATTCTGGACAGTGGTTTGTTTCGCGTTGGCACCACTCGCACCGCTATTGGCGCTATTACTATTCGATCGTTTGTACTTCTTGGGGGTGGCAGGCGCTGTGGTGGAAGAAGCCGGTGTCGGTTTGGTGCTCGTCACCAGCGGTGCCGCGATGGAAATCGGCGAATTGAGCGAGTTGAGCAAGCCGATTTGATCCGGCTGGATGGAATACACTCCATCAACAGAGGTCTCAATGTGACAGAACTGATTAACACTTTCTGCTACTTCATTGGCGATGCATTTCAACTTCTCAAAGTCTTCCGGATAGCTCTGATCTAAATGTGAAAGGAGGAGGTCATCCATGTGATGCTGATGTGTGCTGGTAGGGTTTTCAGCTTCGTTCTGCCGCGTGCCTTGCGTGCCCTGTGCAACAGAAGTCGGTGGAATCTGTTCTTCAAAAATTACGGTTCCATTAGCATCAATACCAGCAACAATTGTTGGGATTTTATCATTATCATCCTGCTTCAAAAATATCGTCTCGTTTTTAGTGGGAGGCGTAGATAATACTCGTCGTAGTTCAGCGTTGTTTTCCTTCTTCCCGACACCGTTGTAACGGACAAACGCTTTGCCTTGCAACGCGCTGCGAAGGAGCGAGTCCGCGCTGCCATTGCTCACAACCCCGTTGTTATTCGTCAGCTTCCAGTCGTTGTTGTTATTATTCGTAGCGTTGTTGTTATTGTTGTATCCATCATGTGTTTCCAGAAGAGGCGTGTCGATAATCAGCGAATTCGCCAACTCATCTTTGTTGTCAGCAAACCCGCTGTCTTCATAAGTGTAGGTCTCTGACTTGATCATTCCATCTGTAGTTTGATTGATTCCCGTTTGGTCCTGGTAGTTATTATTGAAGGCATTCATCTGCGCCGGCATTATGTTTAGAATAGAATCAATATCAATTCCAGGTTGAAGATGTTCCATTGATGTAGGACTCGATACAGAAGCATCTTCATCCTTGATTATTGTGGTTAATGGAGGACGGTACCACGTTGCACCCTGATCAATACCATTTAGGACTGTCAGGGTGTAAATGTGACCACCATCAGTGGTTGTATTGTTATTATTATTATTGTTGTTGTTTAGGTGTTTGAGATTATTCTGCGCTAGGCCATTGCTAACCACATCATCTTCGGTGCTCCAGCAGTACTTGTTGAGGTCTTCCAAGATGGCCGTCTCCAACCGTACCGTTTCCTTGTCACCCCAAAAGTTCAGATCGAAATTGCCATCGGTTTGTGAGGTGGGTATGCTGGTCAAATCTGTCGGCGGCATGTTGTTATTAGCCTCCTTCTCGTCGGCAACTCCGTTGCCTAAGAAGGCGTTGACGGTACGCATCTGCTTCTGAAACTGCTGGTCACTATTGTCGGGCGTTACCACAAAGTCAAAGAAGTCAGCCTTGGAGAGATCTTCCGTGCGGAACGCTTCGGTTATATCCATTATAACCAAAATTGAGTTTGTATCAGTGGAACGTCAGGCAAGCAATATTCATCTTCATGTATCCAAAGTCTGGAAAGAAAAAAAAAAGCGGGACATTTAAAACGGTCAAATGTTGCAATTTGAGCTAAAAATTGGCCAAGTTTCATCATTGAAGCGTTGGTTAATTAACGGTACTATTAGCGTCCGCGGCGCGCGTTTGCACAAAGCCGTAGAAAAACATCGCACTGGACAAAATGGACGAAAAAGCCGTGGGCGCCGTTGTGTACTTTGTCAAATGAGAATGGCATCGAGTTATTACTTATACGCAGACGCTCGTTTCGCCAGTGATAAACTGGTGCAGGCTCGTAAAGTTATGGCCCGGCCGCGGACGGCCATTAGACAAGTAGAAAGTACTCGATCATCATTCCTAACAAGTATAAAAGAAGCATCGAGGAGGTATTTTAAATTGCGGCGGCAAAACTGGAACAAATGTGCATACCGGAAAAATGCTCTTTGCGCAGCGCAAAACACACAACAACAAAAAAACCTAACGCTTTTGCATGCGCTAACGCTTCTTATGATAAACCTACAACGTGCGGTTCGGAGATTATTATAGTCGTTAGCGAGTCGCATGCGCATTATTACTTAAGCGCATTGCACATGCGCAGGACAAACGCGTTTGGTGTTTTGACGCTTTTTGCAATCGTTGTTGTCCGCTATGGCGTTATTACGTTTGCGGCAATGCACGCAGCAGGAATAATAAGTGATAGATACAACGCCGACGCGCATCTTATCACCAAAACCGGAAGAAAACGACGACGCCACCCGACAAATTGTTTTTTCGATCGGCGCCTTTGTTAACTAATTGCGCATTAAACTCCATTCATGCGTGTTTTAACGAGTGCGCTGTTAATTGATATAAAAATATAAACAATTTTCCTTCCAGCACGCCACTCCATTACAACAACTTCTGGTTGTTGTCTCGTCGTGGCTTCCAGTTGTTCGAAATTGTCATCGCTTCAAGTTTACAGCGAGGTCTTTGTCGTGCCTGCCGCCGCAGGCGTCCGACTAACATCGCTAACTTAATGATCGTCAAGGGATGAGTTAGTGTTCGTCTAAATACCATCGCGACCATCGTCGTTATTGCCTCGTTATTTGCGCAGCGTCGTTTTTAATCGCCCGCTCGTATGTCGACGTCATGTCGCAATTTACTCTTCACATCAGAGACTCTCTCAAATAAAACCAAACGAAAAAAAATCCAACACACACTATAGGAAAATGGACTTGTCCGCAAATGATTTATAGATCGTAATCGATTTCGTGTCATGTCTTACTTCGAAAAATCCAAAGCCTGTAATTTACACATTCGTAATAACAATGTTTAAAGCGTCGAAAATATCCCCACACACACACATACACACATTATTCGCGTCGTCAGATTGCTTGTACTGTTAGCGATTCTTTTATTCTTCTCCGCACGGAGAATGTTTATCTACGGAACGCACCGAAATCTCCGCACTTCACGACTTCACCTATTTTTAATGATTGTATATCGGATTCCTCGCACGCCGTGGAGATCCGGAGATAAAAAAAAGCAAGCAAAGAGACGAAAAAAAAAAGCAATCTGTGTGTGTATAGCCACACAAAAGAGACACACAAAAAATTGAGTTGAAGAAGAAATCACTCGTGAGCATGTGAGGAGAATTTCATGCGCGCGTGGAAGAAACAAAATAGAAGAGCGCAGCGAGTAGAGATTTTCTCACCGGGCGGTCGCATTAATACTGGACGAGAGTCATTCAGACACTCAAACACTGTAATTTTTATAGTGCTAGATGTGTAATTGAAGCTGCATGAGTGCAATTCAAGTTAGTAATCAAAAAGTATCAAAAAATTAAAAAAAAAAATTCAATACACTCAATATAATCATTGTTTATTATATACTAACTTTTGCCTTCGACATCATCTTCGTAGTTTTTAATAAAAATGTAATTAATTTTCAAATTTGACTTGAAGAAATAAGAAATACTAAAAATGCGCCATCTCTGAATGTATTATTCAACTATATCTGAATTATATCCTTATACTAACTTTCATCCTTTATTTAACACCCTTTAAATTAAAATGTTTATTATTTTAATAATTATTCTCCTATTCTAGGTAGAAATAAATCTAAAAAACTTTGATTAACAAAATCTATTTAACCATTCTTGAGTTATAAATAGTGTAACTAACACAACCTTCTTTTATATAGAAACTCTCATAAAAAAATGCTAATAACTTGTGTATTTGTAAGAATAGTCGATGATGTAGTTGTGGGATATGCAAAGAATGTACGAGTATATCATCACATCCAAGTCATATTTCCCCGCCTCAAAACACATAAATGCATTTCATCGCTGCAAAGCGAACATAAATACAAATCGGATGCGTAAATAACGACACGCCGCGCGTCGGCTTTGGCAAATATCATATGTTACGCGCGTTTCACTCGGTTCTGGATCTCCGGGCACGGCTTTACCATTACGAAAAGAATTCAATAACGCCGTTATCTAACGATTTACGCGATTTCCCGCTGCAAACATATCGGCATCGTGTAGATCTGGCAAAAATCGCGCCGGCCGACAACCGAAAAAATGACTAATATTACATCCTTGTACTTACTTAGGTACACGCCACCTCGTCGTACTTCATATCGAATAGAAATGCTTGTCGTATATTATCGTCGTGTATACACATGTCATGTGTCGGCGTGTCGGCCGACCGGAGCGTCGGCAATTTGCTTTTAAACATTTATACTTAGCGCAGAGAACCAACTGAAGTTAGTCTTATTAGTTTGCGACTCTCGCACGAGAAAAATGCAATTTATCGGCGCGAGCATTCGGACAATTAAAAAACAATTAATTACCAACAATGATGGGCTGGAAAAGAAACTGCGGACGTGCAGAAGATGCCGTGTGGAAGATGCCAGCAAAACGTAATTAATTATTTTATGTGCGGCCGGTGTTCTCGCGTGAAGAGCGTTTAGTCGCGGTTTCCAAATACGTACTCAAAGTCAACAAGCTAATAATTTATCAAACGCGCGTGGAACCAAACGTGGAAAAAAAAATCGCTATTAATAATGCCGTTCGTTACTGCAAGCGATGTTTTCTAATTATTCCTTTTGAAAATTGATTCTTTTAATGACTCACAAACAAAAGAAGTAATAAGTATAAATTAGGGGATAGATTAACGCAATTTGAATAAAATTTTACGCAAAATTTTACATAGTTTCTTAATCCTGCGGCTTTAAACATATTAAAGCTTAAAATTTTATTTTCTGCTCAACGCAGGTGCCTACAAGAAACAGCTACGAGCTAATGTAACTAATATTTAGCTAGCGATTTGATAAATTATCTACAGACTTATCTAAGTAATCAAACTAGTTATTTATCATTAGACGCATGTACCTGCAGGTTTCACCGACTGCGAGATTCCTAGGTGGATGGTGAAATTTATCGAGCGCCATTTGCATTCGGTGCAATTATCATTCGATCTCGATCGCCTCGATTGCATTCGGTTTTCCATTTTGTTATTTATGTAAATAATCGCTGGCGATGTGTGCGAATCGGAAAAAATCGCACTCGTAAAATTTAATTTCCTCCTCTCGGTGACTCATTTGCATAAAACATGCAAAGCGCTACAAAGTAAAACCGATTTTTCGTTAATAAAGATTATCGCCTTGAATTTACGAACGTCTATTCTAACACCTAGACAAAGTTAAAATCAAGTTAAAAAAAAAAAATAAAATTTTGATCGATTCGCGTTGATTGCTTAATTCCCAAGGAATCTCCGCTGCAGTTATTGAGCAAATTTATTCGAAGCGATAAATACATGATTATAACTCTGGCGGCAGTGTCGACTCTCTAAAAATGGAAGTCGTTGAAATATGCGCGGCTCATTTATCAGCCGATCGTCGTTATGGACGTGCGTTGTGTTCCTCGCCAGCGATAGGAAATCGATGACTGGATGTGCTATTAGAGAAAAAGCCGTGTCGTATTTGCGTTCCGCGCGCGCGTTAATTCATTGTCTCCCGGCGATCATACATCATAAATCCTCTGGAGCGTTCGGGACGCGGATGTCAACGGTGGACAGTGTTTAAGTCTAATTATCCGCACCGCCAATGCAGCGAATGCTGATTTATCGACACGAAGAAGCCCTGCGCACGCTAACAGGTGTCCCAGTTACAAGGAAATCGCTGCGCAAAACAAAAATTGCCAAAAAAAATCAAAAGAAAAACTATTTTACGTCCGTGGAGCGCGCGGAGAAAGACCATCGTCACAAGTCACCCGGCAAACGGGGCAATTAATAATCCGTGGCTAGCGAGCGAACGAGGTTGGTTTGGAACCCGAGCAATTTATCTATGGCGTAGTTATAGAGTGCCAGATATATCGATGATTTATTAATGACACGGCAATAATATCTCGGCCGGCCAACATCCTATTACCTATTAGAATCGAGAATTTTTGAATTAGTGAACCCGACCCGATACGCTTTTCTGAACATCATCAGCCAACCAAACTGGCTCCTGCTAGCAGAGAGCCATAGCATTAAACACCGAAAAAAAAATCTAAAGAATTACGAATCATCACACCAAGCGGTAGTGAGATGCAGAGGTTGAAAGTTGAAGCACCAAAAGGAAATTTTCTAAAAGTGCACACGCTGAAGTGGCTTCCAATTTATCTCACTTTTATATCGATCCGGAACGATATCATCTTGATGGCTTAATAATAATCATCATGCTGTGGTGTGCTGACCGCGCGGCGGCGAACGCCGTTGACCAAGTTTCGCACAAAGAGTAATCGTGTTGCTTTCAGGAACCCGACCGAACAACAACAACAAGCAGAGCATCAAGATTCGAGCGCTATTTAATATAGGCAACCCAATTTTCACAATGTTAGCATTACACAGCATTACGACGTAAAAATCATACGCTGTTAAGATTATTTAATTTGTAGAACAATGTTCTATAAACTTCGATATAATTCGTGCTGGGCGTTGGCTCTTGGGTTAACCTCAAATAGAAAACTTTTGACAAGCCTTCAACCCGTGCG